AAAAAAAAAAAGTGAAGAAAGAGACATTTACAACAAAAAACAAACCAACTTTCAACTGCTCCAAGAAACAATCCTTTGCGGGCACCATAAGTTCGCTTGCATTATGGTGTATCAAATTTTCCAAAAACGAAATGGCATCATTAGACCTCTGTCTAATCTGAAAAAAAAAAAAATCATTCTTGGGAAAAAAATTTAACTTGAAAGCAATTAATCACACACTTCAATAATGCAGGTCCGCAACTGATCCGCTAATACCAGGTTAGAATCAAGCTGATTGGCCCTGAAAAAGATCAAAAACAAGTCATGTGACTGCAAATCCACTCTTTTAGAGAAGCAAAAATGCATAAGTAAAAGAAAAATTTACGGATTGCTAACAGTCGGTTTAAACACCGAATCGAGCATGCGATCTCTGGTATCAACATGAACTATCCATTTAGAAAATAACCAGGATACGAAATGATGTTGTGGTAGAGAAGTGGTTTCTACAGGACTATCACTTTTACCGAAAATGACTTTTAAAATATCCTCGTTTTGGACCTAAAATTTCTTGGTAGCCTCCGTCAAATAAAGCACAGAAAAGGAACACAGCAATCCTACTAATAAACGTGGAAGTTAAAATATCAAAAGCAAAAACCTTGATATCAAATGGAAGCATCACAAATGCAATTATCTCAAACAACTGACTAACAAATTTGGTTAAAAAAAGATTGAAACACGAACAAAAAGTACCCATGTAACTTACCGCAGTCTGGAGAGAGAAAGTAAATGCAATAAGACGCAGGAACATAGAGTGGAGCATCAGTACATTGCAGCTGGAAGTATGTAATATTGAACCTTTCCGAAATCGACAAATTTATGGAGATAAATTCTCAAGAAAAGAAAAAAGAAGCAAACAGTAAATCATACTATTTTCTAGCCAATTCAATATTCCAATCAACTGCTGCAAAACAAGCAAGAGCACAAAGCCAAAGACGAATTGCTTTTCGCCTCTCATAATCAATTTCTTCTGCAAAAAAAGAGGAAGTCTAGACCATGAATAAACGTATAAGTAGTGAGGATCGCTAAAAACCTCTGCAGACTTCTTTGGGCAGCTGATCTCTGATATACAAATTTTAAATGGAAAATGTAGACCGATATTCTTAAGAACCACCATGTAGAAGAAGGGAGCAAGAAACAAAAACCAAATAGTTTAAAAATCAAGTAAAAAACACTAGCAATGAAAACCTACCGCTCCCAAAATTTCTAGCAGACTGCAGCCTTAAGTCTAAATCTTTACGTCGGACATCCTCATTCTCCTTATCAAGCGCCTGAGCCTGCGTTATGAACTGGTTCATCAAAAACGCAATTTGCTCAAGATCTCAAAAAAAAACTATAAGAAACCAACAAACTTACTAGAAAATTTTTTCAAAACCACGAATCAAAACCGAGGAGTATTTTTGAATTTTTTTCTTTAGATGGAGTAACGACAAAGATTGTTAAAAGATTTTACTTGATTGTTGTTTTCAAGACCACTGAAAATAGTAAACTAAACCTTACCTTTTCAAACAAATGTTACTCATAATAAAAAACAATAAATTGTAAAAAACCCTTTAAACCGCTAATATTATAATCGATGTTAAACAAAGGGTTTTTTTGTAAGTTAAATGTCCCAGTTAGAAAACAACGCTGCGACAATTAGTAAAAAGATAGTTTTTCCTCTGAGCCGAACAAAACTAAGGGCCAGATAAAGCTACAGCAGATTAAAACTGAACTGAACTATAGGAGAAAATTTGACTATAATATCTGAAAATCTACCTTTAGCATTGAGTAACGCCGAAAATTTTTCAGAGTCAACAAAGTAATCAATCCAATTTTCAGCAGGTTTTTCTCGAAGAAAGTTCAGACTATTCATATGTATCCGTTTCCGTTCTGCAAAATCACTTTAAAATGTATTTCCAAAAGTACAACGATCCTTTAATAATACTGCGAAACATTTTACAAACTTCATATAAAGCAACAAAATATCC